CTGTGGAACATACTGAACCAATGAAAGACTGCACTGAAGATCCATTGTGTCTCGCGCCAATGCGCGATCATGAGCATGATGAAGATGTCCCACAAGTTGACGCAGTAGAGTTGCCAGCTCATCCAATGGTTTCGGATACTGAGCAACGTCGGAGAAAACACAGGAAGGAGAATCGACGGAGGAAGTGGGAGAAGTTGAAGAGGCAGAAGCCAGAGGCTCCAGTCCGCAAACCCATCATCAGGGGGGTTGAAGCCGTAGAAACTATGATGAATGGACTCCAACAATTTTACAACGATAGATCTAGACAACATGATGAGCAAACATCCGAACTTTACCAATCCATCTCGCATAGCATTGCCAAGGAGTTCAATGACTTCAGCGAGAGCACTGCTGAGATGGCGGTTCCAGAACCACATCACCCAGGACTTCCAGGACACGGGACTTTGATCGAGTTCTGTACTTCTTCAGATTCCATGATGGGAAGAGTTGGAAAAGATCTTGGGATTCATGTCATAAGATGTTCTGAGAATCATTTGAATGTCGAAAGTGATGAAACTATCAAAGTCCTTGACGGCATCATCGAAACCAAACCTGGTGCCGACCTTTGGGGTTCATTACCATGTGGGCCTTGGACTCAGTGGCAGACGCTCAACGTGCATTTGTATGGTGATGACTTCGCCAGCAGATTGTCCGAGAGGCGTAAGGTGTCAAGAAGGTTGGTTAAACGGTTTTGTCGTTTGGCTCGCGCTGTAGCGCGAAAGGGAGGTCGAGTCACATTCGAATGGCCTCGACACTGTGTTGGTTGGGCATTGCAAGAACTCCAGAAACTTATTCGGGATCTCAACATGATGATTGTGGATTTTGATGGGTGCCAAGTTGGATTGACTGACTCAAAGGGTGATCTTCATTTGAAGAGGTGGAGGTTGATTACTACATGCAACCGTACTGCTAGGATCTTTTCAACGTTGAGATGCAATCATCCAGCTGATTTCCAACATGCCCCCATTTCAGGATCAAGAACACGCCTCACTGGTTTCTACCCCAAGGAGATGTGTGAGTATGTAATGCATGCGATGTATCCTGATATCATCTCACGACATGTCCCAGCCATGCCAGTCACACAAGTGATAGAGCAAACAGTTGAACACCGGGAGCGTGAGCCTGAAGAGGGACGAGATGGTGGTGTCTTCATTTACGATTCAGTCGACCCCCTTGCAGCAGCCGCAGCTGAGGGCCTGGATGAACCTGCCGATGATGAGGCTGAGGACAGGGAATCCAGGGATGATAGACTGAAGAGGGAGGCAACATCATTAGAACACATCACATTGCACGCCAAGAAGAATCCATTTTGCCCACATTGCCAAAGAGGTCGAATGATCAAACGATATGCTCATAGACATAGACCCGAACCTGAGGACGAAGAGGTTGTGTACAGTATTGCAAAGGAGTTTGGAAGCATCATTGAGGCTGACCACATTTTTCCAGCGGTTGAGTCTAGGGGGCTTGGTGGTGAACAGTCCGCCCTCTTAGTGCGAGACAGATACTCTGGAATGTGTTTGACATACCCTCAACGAACACGCAATGAAGATAGCAACTATGATGCGTTGAAACATTTTGGTGGCAACAAGTTGAACGGTAACCCAGATGTTGTATTCCACTCCGACACAGCCCAGGAATTGACCAATGCTGCATCAAGACTGGGATGGGTGGCTGATCCATCAGCCGCCAATCACTGGCCACACAATGCCTTTGTTGAAAGAGAAATCAGGACCATCAAGGAGATGTGCAGGCCATCGCACCTGCAGGCAGGCTTCCACAGAAGGCTTTGGACCATTTCCATCGAGTACACAGCCACTGCAAGATCCTTCTTCACTCCGGCTCCGATCACGGAGGATGAGAGAGACACGGAAGAGGGAAAGAAGAAACTTGGTAAGACGCGATGGGAAGTGGCCACAGGTAAACCTTTTGATGGCGTCTCTTATCCACTAGGCGCATTGGTTTTCTATCGTTCCAAGGGGGACGGCATGGCAGAGCCCACAACTCGTCCGGGGTTGTTTGCCGGTTGGCATCTATCCCCTGGGCTTCGGTATCGTGGCAATGTGAAGATTTTGGACTATGAGTCTGTCAGAGAGAGAGGACATTTGCACTGGCAGCCACGTGTGATGCATGAGAAGGAGGTCTATTTCCCTCCAACAGAATACATTGAATTTCCTCTTGCATTAGCTGCACAAAATGCCATGTTGCAAATGACGGATGAGGAGAAAGAAGTCAAGAAAGCCATCTATGATAGATCTTTCGTGGAAGGGGTTTTGCCATATGACGTGTGCATTGATTCTTTTCCTGTTGACGCGCCTCCACCTCCTCCAAGACACGCTTACATAACATGGTCAAGGTTGATGAAACATGGCTTCACCAGGGGATGTCCAGGGTGCTCCATGGGACACAACAGACACTCACAAGAATGCAAAACAAGGTTTGACGCCATCTTCTCCAGACGTGGCGAATCAGTGGGACCAACTCCGAGACCAATACAGGATGGTGTTGAAACTGAATATGAACCATCCATAGCTCCAGATCAATTCCCTGAAGATGAAGTACCCATATGCCCACCGAGGTCTGATGATGAAGAAGAGCTGCAACCAGCAGCGGTCACCAGACAGCTCCCGAGGTCAGAGGTTCTCTCGCGTCCTGACGCGATAGCCGCGATCAAGAAGGAGTTTGACGGTATTGGGGACATGGGCACATGGGATTTGGGATCGGTTGAGGAGGAAGAGACGGTGAAAAGGCGAGCCATAGAGAATGGCCAGACTATCCACCTAGCAGACCTACTAGCCATATGTAGTGAGAAGAACGTTGAGCTAGAACCAAAGTTCAGAACCCTCAAGGGTAGAGTATGCTACAGGGGTGACGCAGCGAAAACTGCAAAAGGAAATGTCGCGCTATATCAAACCATGAGCGCGTCCCCTGCTTCGATCACTGCGGCTAACGCCATCATAGCATACGGTCTGTTGAAAGGCCACAAGATTTCATCAGCAGACGCCATCAAGGCGTACCTTCAGAGCGTTTTGAACTCATTGGCCGAAACTTGGGTCAGGTTGCCCAGAGAAGTTTGGCCGGAAATTGGTTTGACTCAAATGGAAAGCCTTTGTACCGGAGGCCAGTCATCAGGCTGCTTCGCAGCTTGTATGGGCATCCAGAAGCTGGAGCACATTGGGAAAGGAAGCTGGAGCAAGAGTTGGTAAACATGGGAGCCACGAAGATTCCAGAATTCCCAAGCACATATGTGTTTCCTTCCTACGGGCACTTGGCTTTGGTTGTTTATGTGGATGACTTCGTTTTGAGCGGGGACAGTTCATACCACGATTCCTTTTGGGCAGACCTTTCTAAAAGAATCATGTTGGATGACATCGGTGACCTAGGTAGGTTCTTGGGGAGACATCATTCAACAGTGGAGTTCAGAAATCAAGAACTATTCGCATTCGACATGCGAGCCTATGCTGAGAGCATTGTCAATGACTATGTTCGACTGATAGGTCACGCAAAACTGAAGAGAGTTAGCACACCATTTCTCTCAAAGACCACTGTGCTTGAGGAGGCTCCAACTAAGGGCGAACTTGCAGGTTCAGCCAGCTCGGTCCTTATGAAACTGATGTAGTTGGCGCGATTGTCGCGGCCTGATATGCTGAGAGTAACCACTTGGTTAGCTACTAAGGTGCAACAGTGGACCACGGAGTGTGACAACCATCTTTTCAGGGCGCTTAGTTATTTGAATGAAACAAAAGACCACTTACTCACTGGCCATGTAGATGATGATTTAAATGACATCTATGTTGAGCTGTTCTGCGATGCAGACTTTTGTGGTGATGACGAGCACACATATTCCACAACTGGTGGGTGGGTACAGCTAAGTGGAAAGAGCACCAGTTTTCCACTGACCTGGATGTCCAAAAAGCAAGGTGCGGTCTCCAGATCGACAACTGAAGCTGAGGCTGCAGCGATGGCTACTACTTTATTTGATGAAGGTCTGCCGTTGCTAGAGCTGTTTTCAGTATTATTCAGAAAAGTCAGTGCGCTTGTTAATCAGAGAAGATAACGAAGCCACAGCAAAGGTGGTCTCTGCTGGCTATTCCAAGCGTTTGCGACATATGAAGAGAACACATCGTATAAACTTAGGTAGCCTCAAAGAGGAACTGGAAAAGGACGATGTGGACTTGCAACTAGTTGCCAGTCGCTACCAGAAAGCCGACATCTTCACTAAGGGATTGGCAGGTGAACTGTGGGGACCCGCATTGGACCTTCTGGGAATTATCAATGGATATGTGGTCACTCGGACCACGAGCACTGGTTTGAAGATCCAGGAGAATTTTGATGAGTCTCTGCAGCCTTCCTATGCTGAGGACAGGTCAAAACCTGTGCCTACTCAGGATGCTCCGAAGCCTAAGGCCAATGTGAGAAAGAAGTACAAGAAGAAGGCCCCACGCATTCTTCCATACCAGAAAGCTCCAGAAGACTAGGTCGGTGCCGAACGTACCACTGGCCGGAGTCAATCGAGAGGGGGGAGTAGAAAATACTCGAATAACCCCTATGCCGTGTATGCATGTTCATACCACATAGTGGTCCCAAAACGGAGCCCACTATATTGTTGTTGCCTTTGACCGTAGAGTGTACATAATGTCAGGGCTTTTACAACGGGAATAGACTATTCAAATAGTTATCAACAATGATAACTCATTTCCTTAATCCTGTAATCCGGGGTTTTGGTCATCAAACCATTTACTTGGCCAACAACGTTTGGCTCAAGGTGCCCGCTAAAACAGGTGTTGTTGCTTAGTGTCACTGGCCATTGTTACATCTGTTGACTACTGCATCTTGAATACACGTGAATATCACTTCTGGTACAATCCCCGCATTCACTGGATTTACTGGAATTTTGTCTAACTTCCTTTATAATTAGCCCTAGATCGCTCCGAAATCCACCTGCCGCCTTTTCCTGGCATCAGGAGCTTGATGAAGTCACTTCAGCTTTGCACGACTTTTCTCCTTTTGAGGAGGCAGCATCCTCCGACGATGAGGAGATCAGCTTCATACAAGTTTCAGCACATCCAGAAAATCCAGGAACATCCCAGCTATTTTCACCAGGGGATTCAGGGTCAGCATCTTGAGCCCTCACGGCCCAAACCCGTGCGTGGATACCATTGATCCCGATTCAAGCGGTCAGGAGGACCCTATTTGCCCCACGCCATATGGCAAGGGCCTGGTCGATGTGTGCATTGGGCGAGAGACGCTGCTGAACTACGATGTCAACGAAAAGTACTCGCCCTCTTTGCACAGCCAGCTCAGTCATGAGAGCCTTGTGCTCAACTGGAATTTTATCTTTGGAACATGGATGATTTATGAAAATGGAATCCAGGAATCAATGGAAAACATGATGTTTTTCCATGTTTTTCCTATAACTATGGGGTTTCTTGTAAAATTTCCCTTCAACCAATCCAATGCGAAAAACCTGGTTGTGGACAGTGCAATAGAGTACATGATGCGCATGATGGGCCCATATCAACTTCGTGAGGGATTGCTTTGTAATGCTTCGTACATCTTGGGCCAGCGCTGCAAACTCTGGTGCACCATTACACAGCTCAGGAAAATGTCAGCCTTGCAGATGTCCAATAGCATGCTCTGTTTTGCTAGCCTGCCTGACATCTGTATCACATATACAATCATATAATCATATACATCGATTCCGATTTTGGCAAGTGGGTTGTTCAGTTTCTGGCACTGTGCATCACCTTTGTCACTAGACCCGCAAGACTCTGAGGAACGACGAAAACACCATTGACGATGCAACCTGGACTCAGAGTTTTTCTTTTTACGATAGTTTCAATGTGTTAAAGCTAAGCCAGGCACAGGAAAATGTTTAGGCCGCTTGGTGATGCCCTAACTATCCAGCCTCTTAGTGCTGTTCACTGCCGCTGGAACTCATTACTGCTCAAAGGCCTTGATCCAAGTGGTGGTGGTGACCATCAGATCCATCTCTCAGATTGCTCTGCAGCAACTGGTCGCTGTTTCAGCCATTCAGAAAACCGAATGAAAGACTACGGCGGTGTGGGAGGACCTGTCTAGACCGCACTGGTTCATGTTTTCCACTGAAGGTTTTAGCACCGACAGGCTGAGCGATATCTCATCCAGCCGGCATTGCTGAATGCGCAGTCTCATTCTGACCGTATAGAGTAGTTTTTGGGGCACCCCCCAAGAAAATATCGAAAAGTGGGATCCGTTTAAAACATTTTAAAACCGTTGATAAATGATGATCAATGACATTTCCATATTTTTTACCCCCAAAAAAAGTTTACTTGTAGCATCTTGTAGCCATTGCATGAAAATTCCGAGGCTTAGAGGCTTAGATTTCACCATCCTTTTTTGGCCATCCCAGGCAGGCCATCACCATTTGGCTCATTCGAACGCTCTCGGCCAGTGACTTTGAGGGCATGATCGAGGCCGGTGGTGAAGAATGGTGCGGTGAAAAACCATTAGGGTGGGGTATGAGTAAAAAAAAACCAAGCATAATGGGAGATGAACGGGATACAAATGGATAAAACAGGATACATCACCCACATTTAGATTGAGAAGACATGGAGCAAAATGATCATGACACATTTTGAGACGGACCCAGGTGTCTCACAATGTGTCTATGTTTTCACCTGTCAAGATGTTCCAAGTCTGATGACTGTCTCGGAAGGTGGCCTGCTGAGATTCAATGGATTGGTAGGGCAGCAAACAGCAAACAGAAAACCATTTGGAAGTGCGCACTTCCCGGGTTTTCTGGGACAACTCCACCGAAAAACTCAGTCAGGCAATGCGGCAGACGGTGTCCGAGAGGAGGAGACTTGATGAAAAGCCATGGGGTTGATACAAAAACTGCAGCTTTTGGACTACATGTTGTTGAAATTCTTTTTTTTAACCGTGGATTTGGCCTTGCCCATCGCATCAGCAAAGCAACGCATGGGTCCAATTTCAACAGAAATCAGCAATGGTCCAATGGTCCAAATGCTGACAGGTTCGATAGCTACACCAGATACCTGGCCACGCTGGGAGAGCAGAAGCTTCAGCAAGCGATGAACACGGTGCGAACCAACTGGAAAACTGGAGAGGATTGAAACACAAAACAGACTGAAACTCGGAGAATTTCGATGTGGTGTGATGCCAATGCTCAAGTCTCTGGTCTCCGCAGGTTTGGGGTCTTTGAGACCGGCCGACGACGGGACAACCTGCCGCGATGTGCCTTGGTTTGTTTTTGACCCGGCATGGCGAGCTGCTCCCTTTGATGCAAATGGCCGGAAGGTGGGAATCTGACGATATCTGCACAAAGAGAAGCATCGAGATGCTGAAAGGAACTGAATTACCCGAGACTTCTCGTTCTCACGTGAAACGTGAGATTGGATGAAGGGATTCGGAAGGATTTGAGCTTTGGTGATCCCAATTCAGCGGTCGCAATGCACCAGTGATTGATTTGCAAAAAAAGATGCCGCATTTGGAGGATGTGAGCCCATGGAGGAAAAAAAATGTGGGGCTCACATTGGCCCACCTTTAAACTCCGGACTGTGATCGGCAGACCAGGCACACCTGCTAGCCACATATCAGGCTTTTCATGGCAGTTTGGACACAACATTCATATACCCACATACTCGCAACTTTTTCCCGTACAGATGCAGATCTTGGTCTTGCAGCAATGCTGTCTTGGAATCGAACAGATTTTGTCTGCATGAATAGATTTTCATCCGACAGTGACTAGGAAACAAATGACATAAAATTACCATCAGCATTACAACTTGTGCCAGGAGGAGCTTGAAGGTAAGGCCCTCAAAGTTTCGCTTGAGTCTCTAACTAACGAGTTGAAAGGGTCATTCTCCGAGTGTTTTGGCAAAGGTAGCAGATACAGATATCCTTGATAAATTCAACGTCAGGGGAAGCAAACTTGTTCACTGGTGACAGGTCTTTAATTGTTGGATATTGTTGGTTTGAGTTTTTGACACTTGATATCCAACAATATCCAACAATCAAACCAACAATCAAACCAACAATATCCAGTTGAGGCTGACCAGTTGTTTGGATTTAGCAGCAGTTCCACGTGTTTTCAGGATCTGCACTTCCTGGTAGTTCGCACAGGCCGAGCGTTTCTTTTGCCGTGTTCCATTCTCCGCTATCTGACCCCCAAAATGGGCATTTAAAGGAGACTTAATGATTAACCAGGGGATTGGTTTTTTACAAAGCCATAGGTGTAACAAGAAACGTTGGAGATTGTGGTTCCCTGATTTCTGGAGTCTGCAGCGCACACTGGTTCGGGCAGGCATGCAAGGAGGAGGCGGTACAGGGGCAGCCACCATCCCAGAGTCACACTTTGTCATTGAGTCATCGACTTCTGGAGAGTTTTCGGAGCACGTCACTGAGGCTTGGAACTGGCAGACAATTGTTGGAGACTCAGACTGTCAGCCCATGCCTGGTGTACCTGGAATATCTGATTTAATGCTTCTGCGCTCATGCGGGGTGACGTAGTGTTTGCGTTGTGCCGAGATTGAGCTTCAATTGTGAATCCGACCTGGCCCATCCTTTGGCCCTTTCTGAGTCTGTCAGGCAACGTTTTCTTCTGGGAGAACGGTCGAGTAGTGCAAGTAGTTCGGGCCTGCGACGGAAAGGTCAGGCTCTCAGATGCAGGAGGTGTTTTTGGGTTTTGTCTCTTTCTCGGTCCAAAAGGCCATGAATCAAAACTCCTATATAGGCCCTATAATACATTATAATACCATACTTGGGTGGGATGAACATCCATAAACTACCAGACTATTTTGGTGTGATTTCCAGGGTACTGATCAGGTTTTGATTCAAGTCTTGCAGGGCATGTTCCAACATGTCTGGATCGTTTGATTCGATGGATCTCTGCACCTACCATGGGGCAAAAAGGGGGCAAAAAGGGGGCTATGGCACTTGCTGACGCAAAGCTGTAGGTCTTGCGGGAGATTGACACGGGGCAAAACTTTCGCCGCAGCTTGAGCAGCACCTTGATGCCTCGGGCGGTAACCTCGTCATGCTGACAGCACACAGGGTCGTGATACGCGTGATACCTGTTCACAGCACATCTCAGCATGTTGTCGTGCTATGTTTTCTTTGAAGAGTTCGAAGACCTTTGGAACAGCATCCATACATATCCATAGCATCGACAAGCTGTCAGGATGTTTCCATCGCCTGGCCAATGTGAAAAAGAAACTCTTTGTTTGCTTGAATGATTGCATCAAGGTGGGAGGAATGTGCCTAATTGGCTGTTGAAAGTGTACACAGACTTGATATGACTTGATTGAGTTCGACATCTTTTTCTCGGTCATATTTTCTAAAACAGTACTTTCAACTGCCGGCTATGACAAGATTTTCAAGCTCCATTTGGGGCGACACTTTCTTGAGCAGTTCAGGTCTGGGACTACGACAGTTACAAGAAGCCCATTGAGCTTCCCCCTGCGAGGCCGGGTGGTTCGAATGGTCTCTGGCCTCTGGAGTTGTGAAATTTTAACTGGTGGAGTGGCAGGACCCCGCATTCCTTGGTGAGGGCGATGGGCCTAGAGTGTTGTGTGTCCATGGTGTCCATGCCTTTGACAGCTGAGACAGCCGCGATGGACACGTTTTGAAAACTTGCAGTGAGCACTGAACGCATCTAGAAGGTGTGGTGAGGGTGTGATGATACTGCTCCCACCGTAGTTTGCTATTCCCAACACAGCAAACCTGAGGTCGGACGGCCTTTGGAGCTATTGGTTCATAGGTGGGGGAATCCTTGTGCTTTTAATTTTCCGAAGATCCGAGGTTGAATACTCTACTTAAGACCTCTGTTAGTTTTATACCTCCTAGAGACTTTTTCCCAGCTGGAAGCTGACTGGATGGTCGCAGGCAAAGGCTGATCCTGGTCGAGAGCAACTGCTGCTTGCTGTGGCACACGGAGACCCTGGAGTTCATTTGCTGCATCCAGGCCTTTGGTTTAGGGGGGTTGAGTCTTAGTGTGAATAGATTTTTTAAGCTTCTGAAATCCACACATGTTGAAGGTGGTGACTTTCCCAGTCTGTTGTGGGGGGGAAGAACCAGCCTCTTGGAGTGTTGCACCTTCCCTTGATCTCCGCCCAGCATGATGACACTGGGGCTGCCTTTGGATGTCCTGTGGAGCGTCCTAGTCCCTTGGCTGCAACATGACCTAACGCCGACGTCTGATTTATTGCACTAGCTCAATGTTGCTGGTAGCAAGGTATTCGATGTTTGCTGCCACCAAACCTAGGTCCTCATGCTGATGATGTCACCGGATCACAATCACATCGTCAGGGATCTCAGAGTACCCTTGTGTCTTGTGCAAATTGCACATTCATTCCTGTATGAGAGTCCTCTTTGTTTTACAACTTGTCTTCTAAAAGACAAAGCCATTGAGAGTTGTGCAGCATCTGTAAGGTCTTCGAGAAACCTTGGAGGCTTGGAACTCAGACCACAGGTCTTCATGAAACCCAGGGTAGACATTGGTGCATGTAACACTACTGAAAATACTGTAGGCTGCATCAGTTCCTATGAATCCAGGACCACATTCCATCTCTCAGGTCCAATGGATGGGTGACCTGCTGATGACCTGGGTACCCTGGTTGTATATCCTTTCTAGAGATGTTTCAGCTGCAAGCCACGCATCATCGGACCATGCTCTTGGTTTACCCTGACATGTTTGACTCTCACAGTCTTTTCCTAGAGGGAGAAACGGACGACATATAGTATCTTATCGTTCCATCTTTTTGATCGTTTCTACTAGTTTCATCTAGTTTCTACAATATCAAGATGAGAAAAGGTTCCGATGAAAAGTTGTTGGGCCAAAACCAGTTGAAGTCGTTGCCAGGGCCGTGGGAGCTTGAAGTCTTTGAATGCCAACTGCTCATGCCGTTGGGGAGTGTTGGATCAGCCACAAGTAACATGTGCATTTTGCGTTGCGGACTACAAAGTGCGATGTGTGAACACATGAACCCAGATCTATGACTTTCCATTATGCTTGGATTGCAATATTGTTGCAAGGCGACCAGTAGAAGTTTGCTCTATTTTTCGGAGGTCACCGAAATCATGGAACCATGGGACTTTGGATCAGCACATCAATTCCCAGGTCTGGACCTTGGACGGCGAAGCCAAAGCCTTTCTGAAAACTGACAGTGCCTTGGTGCAGGTGCCGAGTTGATCTGCAGCAGACGGATTGGAAGGTAGTGATGAGATGTGATGAGATGTGATGAGATGTGATGAGTAGGACTGGAAACTTTGAGGCCAGAGGTTAAAGGTCCAAGTCCAAGGAACAAGCGCGAACATTCCAGGGCCTGGTGGTGGGTTGACATTTGTTCTGTCTTGAAAGTAGCCAGGCGTAGCCGGTCTAGCCGAGCCATTGATGCTCTGCTTGGCAGGTGGATGTTGCCCGGGTCACGTGGCAGTCGGTGGAAACCTCTGTAGCACTGTAGATGCCTTCAGCGTGACATCAAAAGACTCCAAATCCTTGAAAAACAGATGCACTGTAGATGCATCTCCATGTGATTCCAATGGCTTCATATCACTCTTATGGTGACATGGTGCAGCCCGAGATAGCTTCCGAGGTATATACCTTGGACCATTTCATTCTTTGTGCTTTGGATTCGAGGTGCCAATGATACCCCTGCATGCCGAATGTCCAAGTGATTTGGAACTCATTTTGGTTGAAATCATGGGTATCGATGGATTTTTCCCAGGTCGGTGGTCACATTCTGGGACTCCAAAGAGAACTTCGCGGCGATCTTTCGCTTCTATTGTGGCTGCGAGGCTTGAAGTACAGCGCAGCCACGACAGTTGATTATGATTAAAACAGGTGAAGATGTATAGCGCTATATTATATATAAGTATATTGTAATATAATATAATAGAATATGATATAATATGATATAATATAATAGAATATTATATCATATCATATCATATCATATTATGTTATATTATATTATATAATATTTCTATTAATATTAATATGATATGATATTATATTAAATTATATTTATATTATATTATATTAAATCATATTATATTCACGTCGCTTCGCGACGGCAACCGCCCGCACCGCATCGTTGGGCTCACACAGCAGAGATATATCTATATATATAAAGATCATATATGTACATATCGAGTGAACGGTCCACACTGTTAATGATGTCAGCCATTGTTCTCTTCTACTGCCATTGTTCTCTTCTATTGCCGTCGCTCCGCGACAAGAACCCCTGTGCGGCCGCCACGGTTTGAACGATGTTGTTCTCACACCTTCGCGACCGCTCGTAACTGCCAATGATGTCGGCCATTGAGACCAAAAACATCCGAAAGTACTGATTGTCGGAAAAAAAACGCGAAGAATTTGATAGCCATGTATAGCGGACCAACGCAGTTCAAAAAATAGCGAAAAACATGAAAAACGGCGAAATTGCTGTTATTTACAGTGTTTTTGCGCGGTGAGAAGCAGAAACCACTGCAAATACCATGGTTTTTGAGGGTCAGGTGGCCAAAAACACTGTAATTTACAGTGTTTTTTTAACCAACGTCAAAAAACACTGGTATTTACGATGTTTTCATTCACACCGTAACATAAAACAGCGTAATTTACGAGGTTTTTGGAAGTTTTGAAGCTAGCCGTCAAGCATGCAGAAAACAGAAAAACACTGTAAAAACCAGTGTTTCTGCTATCACAAAACGACGAAAATCAGTCCGAAAACGGGTCCAAAAACTCAAAAATCCGCCTCCGGGCCAGGCCACCTGCGGAACCGCAAAAAAAGATGTTGCAAACCAAAAAATTGAGGTCAAAAAGTTGAAAAACACGGGGTTTTTTCACTTTTCGCTTGCCGATTTTGGACGGGCGCGTTCACGAACAGGTGTCTTCCGTACTGTTTTTTACAGTGTTTTTTGAAGGCGAGCGTCACGACCTATCAAAAACAGGAGGTTTTGGCCGAATAATGGGCCCCCCCCCCCCCAGGTAAACCTGTAACCTTTTACGAGTGCCATCCGGACGATCACGCCCCAGCACCTTCGGTGCGGGCGGATTTTGTTTATATTATATTGTATTATATTATATTATATTATATTTATATTTATATATATATATATTTATATTTATATAATATAATATAATATTATATCATATTATATTATATATTATTATTATTAATCATTATTGTTATCATTGTTATTATTAGTATAACTATATATGTTATATATATATACATTACATGTATAAAAAATAATAACAATAATAATAACAATAATAATAACAATAATAATAACAATAATAGTAAAAACAATAATAATAACAGTAATAATCATACTACTACTACTACTAATAATTAATAAATATTACAGTAAATATTTAATAATAATAATAATCAGCTTCGCTGTGAGCAATTGCACAGAACTAGAGGAATTGATGATCTGACAGATTTCTGGTGCAGGAACCCTTTGATCTGGTTTTGACTCAGGTGGGGGCTGCGATTGAACATGTTGTGCGACTGGGGAAAGCTGGACCCGATTGGTGCAGGACTTCATGGTAGTCATCAATGACAACGTCTCAGCCAACCGCTTGGGCCCTGGAGATGATAGCTGAGAGATTGAGAACTGCCAAGTTCATCCCAGTTCCAGGTTTGGATCTCTGCTTCTGGAAACTATGGCTCCATCCAGACTTCGAGGTGCAACAATCAACTTGTGGCTGCTCTCGGATGAATTTGGGGTACCAGTCTCCAACTCCCCAACTCCCCCCCAGCTAGGCTCCAAATCAATCTGCTGAGAGATGGAGTCTCAGTCTGTGCAGCCTCCAGGGCCTGGTGCCAACTTGGGGAGAATAGAAATATCAAAGGATGCCTGTGTAACACTGCGCCTTCACAGTGAGGTCTGGACATGACGAGGTCAGAAGCTCGACACCAACGTGAGGCGCGGCAAGGGTTCAAAGTCGGCCACAGGTGCGGGAAGTAAAAGGACATGTTGCCAGCATCCCAGAAATGGACGAAGAGAGAAATTCGCAGGACACCCTATATTAGGGTAAAAAACATGGTTTTCCTACAGAGTTTCCCTCAAAATCAATCCATTGAAAACAGTTTCTGCATGATGTGTGGCTTCGTTGGAGGCTTCTGTGCGTCTCCGGCAACGGCCCGCGGGCGCTCACTTTTCTCCACAAGGCCAATTTGATCCACTGTGGATTCTGAATTTCATCCGTCATCAACATCATCATCCGTCAATGATATCAAAATTCACAATAGATCTGCAGTCACATGTACCCTCTGGTAATTTAACATAGCTATTGAAAATCACCATTTTTCATGGGAAAATCCACTATAAATGGTCATTTTCAATAGCTACGTTAGATTACCAGAGGGTATAAACTACATTAACCATCATTAACCTATTTCTCCAAGACACGTCTGGGCTGCAGGTGGCCTCCCCTTTCCAGCAGCGACGGGACTAATGGCTGGCTTGGACTTGGCCCAGGATCCCAGGGATCGCTGGAGCCGAGCCCCGAAATCGGCCACCTGGCCCCGAGGCATCAGCAGCTGCGGCGCAGCTGAGTGGTGACATGCTGCAGTGTCTTGGCCGCATTGAAGCACCGGCTGTTGGTATCTCAACGTGAGGCACAATACCAAGTCCTGAAACAATTTTTTTTATTTGAGGAATCCAGAGAAATCCCAAACCAGTTAAACCATGACCATCTTGATGTGAAACGATGGGCCTCATTGGATAGAATTGAACCTGTCTGAGAGCGACCTGGTAAGGCGCTTTCTTCACAAGGAGCTACGACCCAATTGTCGTCCCATCAAAACGTTCGGACGCCCAGTAAGATCCCTTTCTTTTGTGTTCATTGACAACTGATGCTTTTTGCATTTTCTTTCAAAAAACTGGGCTATTTGGGCCAGGCTGAGCATTCCAGACATCGACACCTACTTCGCATCTTACAGGTGACGTGCACTGAACCTGAACTGAGTGACGAATAGCTTTCCAATGCTTTCCATCTGGATCCCCAGTTGTTTCCGACTTTCCAGGAATTTCCTGAACATGTGCTCCTTCCACAAGTCGGGTCAGGTCTGACCCTCAGAATCTCCTGCTGCATCAGGATCTCAAGCCATCTCCATGTCACCAGGAATCCCTCAGCGTTTATCGTTCCAGCTCCCTTCAGACGCGGCCTTAACGCAGCCGAACTTTGAGTGTGAGAATGATCACGGAATGTCACAGGGTGTTGCATGACAACCACGAACTTTGGTGTTTCAGACTTGATCTGTCTCTTTGGCCAACAAAGGAATTCAAGCGCGATATGGATGTGGAAGAATTACATGGATATGCATATGTAGATGTGCATCTATCTATATGTGTATATACATAATATGTATTAATATGTATTATATAAAACTATACAAATTGATATACTTGGGTACCCTACAAGCTTATATACTCATAATATCACCTATCCATGTCAGCGCGACGAGCCATGTAGCAAGGAAGAAGGCCTTTTTCCCACCCGCGAAGCACACGAAGTTTGAAGAGTGGCAGCTCGGCCTGGACGAGTTGGAATGGAGGGTTAGCCCCTGTTACTCGGGCTATACAACCAACCTTACTGGGATACAAATGGGATGACATGATATATTAAACATATGTATACATAAGTTGATTAAGTATCCATATTATATATATATGGTTCGCCTGAACAACAAGAGTTGGGTATGGTCATCCCCCATTTTCATAGGGATCCATATGCCCAGTTTTTTTGGACTCCCTTTTTTGATGGTGACATGACTGTACCCCATTCATCATATTCATCCCATTTTTTGACCGTGGCACACAGCACATATGGGGATGGGTCACACCTATGGGAGACCAGATGGTGCACAAACTGCATCCAAGGTTGGCATTGCAGGTCCACAACGATGGCACAGTGGTTGTACATGATTTTCGACCCCAGCAGGCCAAGCTGGGAAGGATCTGCTGAGTTATTCGCTGAAAATTCACCAGTTGTCCCATGTGGCTTTGGAGTAGATTTTGATGTTCTCCGCTTCGGGAAAAAACGCCGCTTCTCCGTCCGCAGATGGCATTTGATGAGTTGCTGGGATCCCGCTGCGAAAAAGGCTGGCGGGTCATTGATGGTGAGATAGAAACTAGTAGGTCCTTGAGAGGTCATTACACAATATTACATATATGGTAATATATGATAAATAATATATGATAATATATGGTAATACATGGTAATATATGATAATATATGGTAATACATATATATATATTACACACTACTTACAACATCACCAGCAGCATTTTCACCTGAACTGTAGATTATATCAGGCACTTGTTCAATGCGACAAAATCGGCCCAGGATCTCAGGCCGACACTGGGACACCCAAACAGCCAGCTGCCGAGGGGCTACAGAATCGGGTCCGATGTTTCCAGTTTGGAAAGCCTTGGAATTTTCCATGAATCCATAGGCTCTTTCCACAAAGTGGACATGGATTTTTTTTAGTTTTTCATGAATCTTTCACTTGATGTGTTTTGTCCAAGTTCCTGAGATTTGCCAAGGACTGAGCAAATGCCACAGCCTCGACAGCGGAGCTTTCCTGTCCGCAGCCAAGCATCGGTTTTGACGGTGGTTGTTCGAGGTTCCCATATGCCTCAGTGTGATGGTGACTGCGAATGCAGATTCAGCACAATACTAAGATGATTTTGCTGGAAATTCTTTGCCAGTGAGACAAGATCATATGAATCATATCCTTTGATGTTGAGTAGGACGCCATCGACATCATTTTCACAAATCGGCCATTTTTCACATGATTTCTGCATCAGTGGTTTTTGTTGCCTTTGGGGTTAACCTGCGTGCAGAAATGGTTAGGATTTCAGCAGGTGGAGTCCAAAAATTGCCATCCAAAACACTGATGATTTCACCACGGGTGCCACGGATGGGCTTACCATTTCGGTTGCCCCAACTAAACTTCAGACAAACCTTGGGTGGTTTTTGGACCATGTTTTTGGACCATATTTGCACCGGCCAGGGATGTGGACTGCGCCGGGCTCGACGTGCCTAGCTGTCTGATTCCCGGGATGGAAAACACTGGAGGGCGACTGGAATGGCCGAGAGATTGCCACTTGCAGTATGGCTATGAAGAAAAAGAAAACCAAGAGATGGACAAAACCTTTCATTCTGGTGTATCAGCTAAGGTCGTCAAAGTGTTACTGGAAGTATCAGTGATATTCAGTGATGACCATTTTTCCATACTTTTCCCGTGTGCATTTCTTTGGCCTGGCTGTGTTTGAGGCTCTTTCAGGTTGCCCAGATTCTGATCGCTTCACTGGTGAGATGAGTGGCTGCCAGTCTTGCTCGATGTGCAACGGAGCAATAGAACCTGCAGGTAAGTAACATTGCACAGCTCAAGGTTAATAGCCATTAATAGGGGCTAGTCATCCAATGGTTCATAGGGATTTATAATAACTATTATAAGGATCCTTATTATGGATGGGATGACCATCAACCATATAGTGAGTATTGACCATGGCTCATATGAAATCAAACGACACTCTTCTTTGCCGCTAAGCTTTCTTTGCTGTTTCGAAAAATTGTTCTTTGTCTTTACTGCCACGGAATTTACGTGGGTGTCTTCTCCCATTTGGGGCAGGCTTCGACATGATTCCCTGATACGTTCCGTGTTCCATCCACGACTGGCTTTCGGGTGGATGCTGTGTGAGTCCATCGTCCATAGGAGGAGATATTCCATGATATTCCGCAATTTTTTAGCCACACCCATATGACATGCGTCACCTCCGGGCATGAACTTCAAGCAAGTTGATATAAGTTGATCCTTCCTTAGCCAGTCTGAGCACGAGAGCAGCGCGGCTAAGTCGTCCTTGTGCACTCGTCTGTGGAAGCAAAGATCCAGGAGTTCTGGTGTACATTGTCATTAAAAATCGTAGGGAAATCCCTCAAAACAGACTGTAGTACAGCGAGGCCACGGTTGGGGCATTGGACATTTGCATGGTTTTCGAGTATACTTACCTCCAATGTTGTGCCAATGTCGAGTGTGGGATCCAAGTGTTTCATGCATAAATTTCATAATGTTTTGACAAGACATCCAGACTTTGATGTCTATTTGATTTATTGCTGCTTCACCCTTTTATTGCTTTGAACTTTAAGTAACAATTCGATGGAAGCATTGTAGAGACCCATTCCTCAGAGGTGAGTTTGATAGGCACAATAATGGCAAACATTGAACAAGCAGAGCTGACCAAACATTCTGTCCGTGCTCTTTCCCTGAGTGAAACTGCGGACCAACAAAGCTTGCAATAGCAGTTTGGAGCAAGTACATAATCTCTTGGGGACATGTACACAATAATCCCGGAGGGTTGAAGATGGGATTCCTGAAAGACTTAAATCTTCTGTAATGCAACAGTGGACCACTTTCGTGACGCTAGTCTTGCTGGCTCATAGAACACTTCAAGCATCAATGGCATCTCTCGGCAAAAGTTAGGATAGGACATTGACGCAATTTCTACCAAACCGATTGCTTCAAAGTGGCGACATAGTGCATGATAAGACCAAAACTATCACATTGTCGCTAGGTAAATCCTTGTTGTGAAAGAGAAAAATGAGCCAAGGCAGTTGTGTTGCGGCGTTAGGTAAATAGTGACTATGTTGTTGGAGAACAGGCAGCACCATTTTTCCAAACAGAGAGCTGTACAACACCACAAGTTTCCTTTGTCGACACCCGCTTGTCACCCGCTTGGCATGCTGCACCCTGAGACTGCGATGACATCGACATGATGCTTTTCCTGCAACACCTTGAAACTGAGGTGTGAAGTCAAGGTGCATCCTGTGACCAGGCACAGAGATGACTAAGGTTTGAGGCAGCACATGTCGCATGTGTACAGGGTTCGTCATAGATTTGGCCTTCCTTTCTGTATCTTTCTGTGATATCCCAATATATCCCGTGCGCCATTGTTGTCTCAAAGCCAGTGTCATGAAAAGCAACAGCCTCCCGAGCTTCTGGGCCCATCCTGCCATACCCTGCCATACCCTGCCATACCCTGCCATAGCCTAGCAACAAACGAAGTCACCCATATCTTCACAGAATTGGTCCAATGATGCGCCTGCCGGTGCCTGGGGCGCGGTCACTTCGGATCTGGCAGCGTTCTTGCAAGGCGAGGGCACATAGCGTTTGCCTAGGAGACTCATTGCAGGGTACAATGCTTTAGGATGCTCTTGAAATGACTGGAAGCAGTCCCTGTCCATAGTCCATCTCAAACCCAGTTCCTTTGGCGAGTGTGTTTGAGTTGGTCTGGGTGATGTGACGTGTTCTTTTGGGGCAGTCTGTCAGCCTTTGGAAAGCTGGAAGGCCTGGACGCCATATGTTTGCGTCCAGTTGCAACGGCACTGCTTTGCTACAGTAGCGACCGAGCAGACAGGTGCGAATGAATCTGTTTGCTCTAAAAGTTGCCTTGAAGAAAGTGCGTACACGGCTTTCGTCTTCATTTCCTTTCCATTTCACGTGATTTTTTGGTTGAGATCGCATTCCGGGTTGCACCGACTCTGCAAGTACCGTGGTGCACCTTTTTTGCAGAGGTACTGGAGAAGCGCCGAGCAAAAAGCCAGTTGTAAAGCCAGTTGTAAAGCCAGTTGTAAAGCCAGTTGTATCAGCGGAGAAGGACTTCACTGATGGCACTGTGGCTTTCCAATCGAAAAGCACATGTATCCTGGTGGCAGTGGTGGAGTTGCAATGAGGCTTGACTTGGCTTGACTTGGCTTGACTGTATGGAAATGTATTGAATCTGATTCTGTGGAGTGCTATTGCACAGTGCTATTGATGAACTGGTCCAGTCGGGCCAGTTGTAGAATTTGACATGATTGGAAGCTCAGGGGAGCTCTTCCGCGCTTGGTGTGTCTTTCAGATTTGTGCTATTGGGCCAATCGTACGACACTGCGACACCCTCTACATGTACTCCGTCAAGGTGCTTGGTGCAAGGCGTGGAGCAATGGGGCAATGGGTTGCCTTTTTGACGATGTGTTTCTGGGGTTCAGCCGGGGACATAGTGGGACCGTTTCGCGAGGTTGAGCGTAAAGCCACTAAGCCCTTCAACCCGTTTTTGTGTCTTGCGTTTTTGTGCGCACAGATTTCTAGCAAAAAAGACAGATAGACCAGAAATACCCAAGTTTTCTGTCTCACACAGGCTTACTCATCTCCTATTGAGAAAGACTTTCTTCGAGCACTTTTGTGCTGGCGAAAGCAGCCAGGACTGCGGCGGCCGATTTTTTTCTCAAAAATGCAGTACTGATTGAGCTGGAGTCAGACTTATTGTCTGGGCTTTTCTACATGTATCATGTGTCAATATCTTGCAAATGCCTTGACCACACTTTGACAATGGGAAAGCATGGCTGGAGTGAGCATGCGATTACACAGCTGCAAAGGACATTGTGCCACGGATGAGAGAGCTGCAGAAATACAATGTCCTGAGCTGAGTTGTGAGAATGAATAAGTGATAATTAATCTGGTTGGTGGTTTGGAACATTTTTTATTTTTACATCTATTGGGAAGAATCATCCCAACTGACTCAACTGACTAATATTTTTCAGATGTGTTGAAACCACCAACCAGTAATTACATGTTGCTCTCATCCGCTGTTTGACGTTTGGGTAGAATCAGCAGTTTCGGGCAGTGTCTGGTGAGAGCCAGCCCGAGGTTGGAGGAATTCTGGACTATGCTGCGGAAGCAAAGGACGGCGAGCTCCCAGAAACCGTGAAGCCTATCGATGAAGAGGAGCCCCGTGGCTTTCCCCAAAATGGGGACCTGGATCAAAAGCCATGGGACCGCCGGGGCGAATGAACATGCATCACTATGAACTGCCTGCTATTTGCTGTGAAAATCAAAGTACACTTCTGAAGCCAACTTTGAAACAAAAAGCGCGACAACTCAAAGCTCTGTCATGCTCTGTCTTTTTGGCAGGAAACTGTTGGGGCCCCGCTGAGCAGTCGAAGCTACGACTATGAGAGTGAGGCTGACAGCAGAGTTCTGAAATGGTCCCGGTTTTGGGGGCTGTGGAATGGGAGGAAAGTAGATGCAGTCGGACGCAGCTAAATGATTGAGCGTTGACGAAATGGACTCCATCCTCTTGAGACTCACAATTGCAATTGCTAGTGAAAGTAAGAATCCTTTGATGTCAACTGGTGGAAGCGCCTGATGATGAGAAAGCAGGGACTTGCGCTAGACCAAAGTCTTTCCAGATCATCAGAGCATTGGTTTGGTCGTTTGTAAAGCGTTTGGGAAGATCTGCAGCAATTCTTCGCCTTCGCGAGCAGGCGCTGTGTGACGCAAGAGCTCAGATCTTTCGTGTCGCCGTGCGGGGTGTCAAGGACACCATTCCGGATGGCTTCGCGGCCATCAAGCTCTCTGGTCTTGGGAGACTTGGCGGAATGGATCATGGATAAGTGGAGGGACAGTGGCAGTGTCATGGCAACTGTTGCAGCATTGCATGAACTCTTCTGAGTGCTACTCAACTCGCTTAGTAGCTGTTGGCTTCTTGGATGCTGGACTAGTGGAGTAGCCCCACAGACCTGTTGGCTTTTTGCATGAGAAGCTTTTTGCTGTGAGATCAGGAATCCAGTTTTGCTGGAGAGGATGTCCACTTGCTTGGCAGAAGTCTGCCGATTGTCCCTCAGATCCAGAGAAGACAAGCCTTAGCATATATATATAATAATATATATATATAATAATATATATATATATATTATATATATATTATTATATATATATACTATTTATTATATATATATGATTATATATATATAATAATATATATATAATAATAATTATATATATATATAATCATATATATATAATAAATAATATATATATATAATAATATATATAATATATATATATATAATAATATATATACCCTCTGGTAATTTAACGTAGCTATTGAAAATGACCATTTATAATGGATTTTCCCATTAAAATGGTGATTTTCCATAGTTATGTTAGTTTACCAGAGGGTATATATAATATATATATATAATAATATATATATAATATATATATATATATAATAATATATATAATATATATATAATAATATATATAATAATATATATAATATATATATATAATAATAATATATATATATAATAATAATATATATATATAATAATAATTATATATATATATAATCATATATATATATAATAAATAATATATATATATATAATAATATATATATATAGTAATATATATATATATATAATAATATATATATAGTAATATATATATATAATAATATATATATATAATAATATATATATATAATAATATATATATAATAATAATAATATATATATAATATATATATATATTATAATATATATATATATTATAATACAGAAATAGAAGTATCTAGATTTGGAGAGAGGATTGTAGGACACAGTCACTGAGTGTAGTTGCTCACAGTGCAGCTAAGTATCAGCCGATTTGCCAGCCAGCTTTTGGCCAGTCTGCTGATTGTCAAACTTTAGATGATTGAGAGGATGTCAGAGTCACCGTCGCCCAATGGATGAACCACGATGAACAAACGACCAAGGTACAAAAGACTTGCTGATGATGATGTCAACCCCAAAGAAAATTACTACGTGTCTTTGGCTGCAACCATGTTGCTGTTGCTAATTGCTGTCCCAGCATGGGGACCCTACGCTTTCAGCCAGATTTGAAGGTGCAGAGAAGCCCTCAAAATGATCAGATTTTTTGCACTGTGCCACCCTTTGCTCTGACCAAGATGATTGACCGATCTTTCAAGATCGACTTCGAGACTTTCAAAAAAGGCTGGTTGAAGATGTTTGAAGGCAAAAGTGAGGACCGCTGGCGGTTTTTTTCGCGCTCGAAGTCTTCCAGTTGTCTGCCTTCCAGTTGTGATTTTCTGTCGAGGAAGAGCTGAAAACCATGTTTGATGCTATGGACGACAATCGAGATGGGCTTCTGGGATCGACATCTTGGGAATGGCCAGTGGGTCCATGGCCAAACTGCTTGGTGGTTTCAAAAACATGGCTGGATTATTGTCCATAATATAATAATATATATATATATATATATTTGGGTTGTCATCCTTCCCATTGACGAACTCCATGATTTTTCAAGATGGTAACATTGCACCACCAAGCAGCAAAAAATGGGAAGGGACTGGAAGGGGTGTGATGAAAAGAGAATTCACTGGAGTTTGACAAGCAGACACACACACACAAGTGCTGTTTGTTGTGTGATCTCCACATTAGGTTCTCCGTTTAAGGATTTTTTTCTTTGAAAACCAGCCTGCAGCAAGGTACATTAGCTACCTGGAGTGGTCTTCTGGTGTCAAGCTCTCGGAAATCAATGAGATGGTACGAGGATGCAAACATCAAGGACCAAATACTTGGCCTTGGGTATGAACATCCATTGTTACGGGGGGTTTAAAAAAGAACCATGGGATACCAACCGTCAACCTTTGATCTGGGGATCGGCAGATAACCGGTTTCAGCAGTATGAAACATCCAAATATTTTTTTTGGGGCACCCAATTTTGATCAATTTTGGTCAGTTTTTAGTATTAACACATATGAAACATAGAATTAATAGCTATAAAATCAGCGCATCTCCAGGGAATCTCAGTGCAAGAATCTTCTCAGGACGACTCTTTCAGGCTGCTTTGAATGAAGAGGAAGTGAAGCTGTACAGCACCATGGATTCGACTTGGCTGGGAAATCCACGAACCAACAAGGAGGCTTTTGTTTAAATGGAAAAATCATAGAACGAAATAATGGAATTTTCCAGCAAGTCATGTTTGAGTAAGAGAAGCTAACTTTTTCTCTAGCATTTCTCGTGGTACCTAATAGAAATCTCTGATATGGAGGCGCATCCTCCAGTACTACCATCATGTAGTTCATTTTAGTTGGAGCAAACCGCGCAGAAGTACAGTAGTACAGCCCTTTCGTCATACCTTCTTGGGTGCCAGCCCAGGCAACATGCTGAAGCGCGTGCAGGGTATTTTGGACCTGGCGCAGGCCGCAGTCGTCTCGTGGTGTTTTTGGAAAAGACCCTGTGGTGACCTAGTTGGGCCCAGTTGGGCCATGGAATTTTGGTACCCAGACATTGTAAAAATGCAGGAAACACACGCTGGGCTTAAGAATCCCAAAGTCTCATATAGTCTCATCATGTGCCACTTAATAATCCAATGATACTTTTGAAGGGTGCCTTAAACCCTGCAACGATGGAGCGCTAACAGTTTCACTTCAAACGCCAAATGTGATCCGTTAAAAAAGAGGCCCCTACTTACTTGAAGCCAGCCAGCAGAGTCTCTGACGACGTTGAGGGATTCAGGGGACATAATAACAATTTGCACCTCCAGTGCGGATCAAACAACTTGGATAGCCTTGATTCACAAAACTCAGGGCTTACACTGGCTTACACCATGTGCAGGAGTTGGGCGTGCGTGTGATGCCGCTCGGAACGTCAGATTCGCCTGTGATCCAACCAGATTCCGGGTGCATACCTCACCCCAAAGTTCGATGTTTTCAGATTGCGGCTGCGTTTTTTAAGCGCCAAGGATTGATGCGGAGTGGACTGACATCCAACCAGCAATCGATCACATCACCATTTTCATGCAGAGGACTGCGTTTGCTGTGGGGAATTCATGATCAAAACTGAATGGGTGCGGAATGTGGGAAATATTTGCGCGTTGTGGGAGTGGCATGTTTCTTATGGACATGGGTATAGGTCAAGATTGGGTACCCCAATAGTTAGATCTGGTTGGTGGTTTGGAACATTTTTATTTTTCCATTTCATATATGGGATGTCATCCGAAACCCATTGTTCCGAACTCCCTGATTTTTCAAGATGGTAACATTGCACCACCAAGCAGATGATTAGGGGATCTACTTACCTGGTTTACTGGGTATTGGATCCCCATGAGCCTAATACAAACTAGGGGATATTTTTCGGGATCCTATAGGTTAGTACTCAATTTCTCAACACATTCCAATCTGTGATCCCATCGGGCTCCCAGTGAGGATCTACAACAGGGGAGAGTTGCCCATTGTCACTGGCCTGCCATTGGTTGATTCGTTGATCATCAGATGCCACAAATTGAAAAAGCTCATCTTGGTGTAATGGATTGGATTAAGGGAAAATGTACAGGAAAGCCCCATATAAAAAATGGGACAATCTATGGTTTCCTGTAAATTTTCCCTTAAACCAATCCATTGAACCTAAGGTCTTCAACACCTACCAGACCTACTTAAAGGTGTGGAGCTGAACGGTTCGGCGCTTCGGAATTCCACCTGCAACCTTTTACCTTTTGGACATGAAAATTGAGTGATTTATCTGCACCAGGGAATGCCTACACGAGTTCAACGTGATCTTGATCGATCAAGGCCGGATCTCAGCAGAAAAGCTTTTGTTGCAGGTCTTGTGGTTGAAACGCAAGTTGCAGCGATTTTTTTCTGCAGGAATATTGAGTGAATCCAAAGCCATCTTCACTCTTTTTTGGTTTCTTTCTTTCTCTCTAGTGACTTCCAAGGAGAGAAGGCTGGAGATTTGGAGCAAAGCTTGTTCGCGGCGCGTGCGCTGGTATGTGACGGTATGTGGAGATACCTGAGGTTGTGAAAAAAATCAAACTGTGATTTGGCATACTTCTAGGTAAATTTCATTTGGAGCTTTTGGCGGATCCTTTTCTGTCTGGCATTTAAAGAACACAAACCATAGAGGCATTTTTGTGGCTCGATGACATGAAGATCGGACATGTTTCTCTTGTAGAACTGCAAACGTTCGTTTCTTGTCCGCGGTGACGTCACAGGTACATGGTGTCAGAGCGACAGAAGGCTGAGGAGCGAGGCCTCGAATCTCCGATTTGTGACTCTTGGCCACAAATTGCCATAGGATTTTAAGCCACGATAGAAAGGCTGTGAGCAGAAAAGAGTGTGATCACCTGGAAACTCCAATCTTGATACGACCTAAATGTGGCGACAGTGGTTTTTAGACCATGTTGAAATCTGCAGCAAAAGACAAGGACAAGTGTGTGGTTAATCAGTGGTGAGGAAACTTACGAGAAGACGGAGGAGAACTTTCACAAAGCCATTGATGTGATCTTGGCACATGGAGAAGACCCCAGCGCGGTGCGCCTGGCATGGTTTGAGGGCTTTGGTTCAGAGCTGCATATGATATATATATATATATATTATAATCATTAATCATATATCATTACATAGAACGTGAAAATCAAGGAAGGTTTAGCAGTATGATATATATATATATATTTGTATACACAGCATAGCAACATAGATATATGCTACGATTTGCAATTACAGGTTTGGAAGTGCCATACTTTCATGATGTAATATTCATGTGGTTCCTGGACCGGATACGGCTTGCAGGGGGCTTGTGGAGGCGCCGCTGCAGAGGCCGAAACCGAATTGAGATGGGCATCGTTGGTGAGCTTTGGATTCTGTCTTTTTTTGTTCTTTTCTACGGGAGGTATAGTCTTTTCATTTTTTTAAAAGGCTTTTCATGTCTTTTCAGTATTTTTCCAGGTCTTTTCAAGATTTTTCAGTTGCATATGTTGCACTTACCGAAAACGGGTGACATTTCTCTGGTCCTTTTCCGGGATAGCCACTGGGGCAGGTGCTGGTGGCCTCCCACAACCGATACTCCATCGAACGGACCATCCAAAAGATGGCCGAGTTGGCAGTGAGACAGGCTGATGTGGGGCCCCCTTGTGGGTTGAGACACACCTTTTGCCCAAAACCTGGGGAGGTTTGACATTTTGACATCAAGAGAAATTTGTTTGTGGTGTTTATTGGCTCGAAGTTCTGGAAATTGATGCTCAAAGAGAACTCTGACGGGTCAGGATCGCGTGGGCTTTGGACAATTGATGGGCATGGCAGACCATCTGACATACACGACACTTGGAAGCAGTGGTGTAGTCAGACAGTTCTATCATCTTTGTGTGCATATGTTGTTCGCGGAGAATCTTGGGCACGGCCTTGACATATAAAATTACCAGTGATGTGTGAAAATGGACTTGCCAAAGAGGGTTCAGTCATGCCTCTCAGCGGTGACCAGTGGTGACCACTTGTTTGCGAAACTGCTCTTACAACGAAAAGTATCTCAGAGAGATTTTGAGTTTGTCATTCTGCTAACTTTCCCCAAACTGATCACTCTGAACTCTGAATGTTGTGCCTCTGGCTTGACCAAAACCAAGGCTGGCGCGGTATGGCTACCGGCTTGCGCCCGAGCATTCTTGCGCTCAGCAACTCTTGTTCCGAGGTATTGAGATTCAGAGTTATTCACAGTTACAATACGTTACAATTATCATGTAGGCCTGCACATATTTCCAGTTGTGCACGGGTAGCAGGCAAAACGATCCGAAGAAGCATATTCGGAAATTCCAACTTCTATGAATTTTAGCAGATGTTCAATGTTGAAGCGCTTTGGATCTCTCCTAGGTCCTACAAGTACGTCCCTTATGGACCTGTTGATGAAGTGGTGCCATATCTCATCAGACGCACACAGGAGTGTCCAGCAATGGCGGGGATACACTGCCAGCTGGGAGGTCATTTAGAATTTCAGTCTGGCTTTGTGGGAGGTAATGACAACCTTTGATCATCAAAGTTGGATGTTCTTTGCTTCGTGACTTGTTCTGGAGCTCCATGCACATTGCACTGGCTTCCCACAGAGTGTACACATGCCAAAGCACCAGCAATTCCAGAGAGTGGTAGGACAAACACTGACACACGTGATAAGATTTATGCTGCAAGTCATTTCTGTTTGTGATGAAACTCCGACTGAGTACTCCACTCATCGCATAGGAGAACTCTGCAATTCTGGGTTCTCCATCCGTCCAAGAAGAGAGGCCTGGAGCATCTGGAGCAGTTTTTCAGCACGGACTCGATGCGTTGATGCCAGGCAAATGGTGGGTTCGGAGCTGCTCAGACGACTAAGACCTATCTGAGCCACACCACCAGGAGGCACTCCGTGACACCGCAGTTGGCAAACTCGAAGCAGTTTTTTTTTTCTGAAGTGGTCGCAACATGTGGACCTATGATGGTGTGTCTTTGTTTTCATGTGGAAAGACTGTGAAAAGACAAACAACACACAAACCAGCTGCTCAGACAATGTGCATAGCCCCAGTGAGGAAAATCAATTTTTGCCTTGACAGGAGAGGAACAATTGGCTCCTGAAGTTCAACTGGTGCTTGTGATCCAAGGCCAAACAGAATGGAGGTCTGTACAGATTCCGTCTTTTTGCATGATTTGAAGCTTCACTTGGCTCCACTAGAAGCTTGGAAAGAATTCCTGCGGGATGCAACAAGCCAAGTGAAATGTCTAGCACAGATATAGGTGCGTCTCAAAATTCGTGAACCCCAAATGTATGGGTGTTTCTCCTTCAAAAACTCGGACCACCGATTTGAATGTTTGGGGTTCACTATTTTTTTTGCACATCCAAACTTTACTGGCCTGGTTTCCGAGTCAGTAAATTTTCAAGAGTTGCCGTGCTCAGCAGCACCGCATAGTAGTTTCCAGCGTTGGAACGCTGCGCTTGCGCTGTGGCGCTCGTTCAAGGGACACCATAGATGAGGCTCTTGACATTTACTTTTTGAGCTGCACATTCAAGATAAAAGTCAAACTTTCTCTGGATTTTCCCATCATATGGAAATCCAATTTGCTCTTGGTTGGGGTTTCGAGACGCATCTAAGCTGTCCCGCGGCAGTTGAACAGTGACTGCTTGCTGAGGACAACCCTCTGCTTTCACACCAGTGACGCATTGCCACCGAAAGTCGCAGCACAAAGCCGCGGGCGTTCGATCGCGCGCCGTCGCACCATAAAGAGTCAGCCTTCGTCAGCCAGGCGCTTGGCCAGAAACTTTGATGGCCTTTTTCCAGAACAAGACCTGCAGAAGGTGCCATCCGGTGTCACCACGGTGAAAAGATATGACAAGTCGGCATTTCATGTCCAGACTTGGAGACCTTGAAATAATTTGAAATATACACACATGCTGCAACATGCTTTTTTGGTCTTTACAAATTACAATCTATTTATATTCTAGACATTCTAGACATGAAACTGAATAGGTCTGGAAGTCTCCCTTGGGTTTGGACTGTTTGGACCATGCTTGGATCTTGCCAGGAGCCGCATGTGGTGGTGACTCTGGTCCTTCCCCAGTGCTTGGGTGGAGGGGAGGGTACAAGGGATTTTTGACAAATTCTGAGAGGGCCAAAAGTTGATATCATTAAATTATCTATTATATAGACACACACAAACATACACTTGAACATATATATATATATGATATATATATATATATAATATATCATATATAATATAGATATAGACTGCATGGTTTTGCAGTGTATGACATTTTGGAATCTTCCAACATGAACTGCCACAGGCTTTTGGGTCTGGCTGAATCAATGAAGATCAAGTTCTGGGAGAAAAAATCCACTTTGGCATGTGCACTCGTCTGGCCGTCGCAGCACATTCAAAGACGATTGCTGTGGGATTTGGGACTGGGGTGACTGGGGGTGCCGAAGCGAAAATCTGGAGGAGTCTTGGCGCAAGACTTACGTTGGGGATGCAGTATTCGCATGAATTCGCTGTGCGGATGCGCAGAACGAGTATCCCTTTAACCGAGGTTCAAACGATGCCACCTGTGTCGTTGTCTCTTGCAGAGGTGCAAGCGAAGTGTAAATGCTGCATTTTGGTGACCAAACCTTTGGTAGCATGTCCTTTGTGTAGTCTTTGTGTATTCGTCATACCTATCCGACCTATCCATGATTCTACGAAAACCAGTGTCTGAACACCGGAAACGAGATGTCTTGGGCCATGACCCACAGGCCTTGGGAGTGCCCCAGCCTACTCAGGCACGATCATTTGGTGAGGGAGTCATAGGTTGACATTTAGTTCGTTGCCCTTGCTGATCCTCAGCAGATACGAATCCTTATATATCATTATGCGATGTGATGGAAATTCCCATGGAGCATGGAGTTTGGAATTTGGAACACACACACACACATATATATATATATACATATGAACATGTGATAAACATCAACATGCATCCAAATGAAGATGCGAGAAGCTCTGTGGACTTGCTGTGATCTGTGCTATTTAGCAGTTGAGGAGTCACATCTTGCGTACACCTTTAGCTTTCTCTCACATCCCTTTTCTTTCCTGGTTGTTCATTGGTTTTCTAAGATCCCCCGATTGGATCTCACGAAAAGGGATCGCCAACGTCGAAGATGAGTCTCAATTTGGTCCGCAGCCAAATGTCCAGTCACATCTCTGATCTGTGGAACGAAGTGACTTTGAGATCGCTCCAAGGTCTGTGTAAATCGCCTTCGCCAAAGCTTCAGCCATCACACCAAGGAATCAGCTCTCACGCCCTTGTCGATGGAGCCCCAAAAGGTGAATTTGCCCAATTTGTGCCGGGGCCTCAAAGTCATCCGCTGCGGAAACCAATAAATCATCCAATGATCATGTTAATTGGGTTCGAGTATTTGTTTTCAATAAACTTCCTCCGTTTTGAATAACAAAAAGCTTTGGACACATGGCTGCTTTCATCTGCCAAATAGGACCTCTTGGGACGAAAAACTGGCGATTCGTTAGGAATACGATTGTTGCAGGGTTCCCTCCCACATCAAGTGTAGGCCCTTTGAATTCCGATTTATTGCCTGGAAAATCGTGCGATCCCCTGGGGGCTTCTGCAGGTCTGGATACTTCGCCTGAAAAGCTGAAGGAGCTGCGCATTGCATGGAACCTTCACACATCACCAAAGCCTTCTGTTTACAGCTTGTTCAAGCGCCAACTTCAAAAAATCACCTGGAGTTCTCCGAAACCTTGTGTGTCGACCAAACAAGAGGGATTGCTTCCCACTACTTTCCATGCTTAGGACCTTTGGGATCGAATTTTCACGCCAGTTCACTATATCCTCTACCTTGAGTGAGGGATTGATCTCTTTGGACACAAGGAGCTGTCCGGTTCAACTTCACCCATCTCGCTTCATGGGTTTGGACCTGGGGATGTTACACTATGTTCATCTTTCAGCATAGCGTGGAAGCAACACTTTTGATTTCAACCGTCATTGCTAACAGTTAGCCTCAGTTAGACATCTGACTTCACTGCTGAAGGCGCTCTGTTAGTCAACTGGTAGTGATGTTGTCTTCTGGGCCTTCTGGGACTGCTTGTTCTGCTCAGGCCATCATCAGTACCCTATCCCAATGTGACTCGGTCGAAGTGGAAATGGCCCGGCCATGGCCCGGACAAAAACAGGACACAGCGTGAGTTGACCGCTAAGGATCCGCCGGGGCAGGTTGGAGTCCAGAGCTCAATGCCGAGAAGCGACATATCATATATATAATATATATAATATATATATATATACACAAACACATCAATGATCTCAATGACTTTATGAAAGCAACAATGGGGGGTACCCCAAATCATACATTTTAATCGGATTTTCCATTATCAACCCATCCAGCTATTGGGGTACCCCCATTGTAGGAAACCTCTATTGCTGACGATCCCAAGTTGGCTCCCGGTCGATTCCCCCATTAGTTTGTCATACGCATGTCTTTCCTACTTGTGCATATGTCTGTGTAATTCTGTGTACGTATATACGTATATATATATATACACATACATATGTATTATATACGATTTTAAGTCATACATATCTTTGTAGAGACTACACCTATCCCCAGTTTTCCCCAAATCAGGTTCCCCAAACGCTGGACGATATCTTGCCCGTGGACGACAGCGCAGAGAACTACAAAGGCCGGACAAAAACCACGTCATGTGGTGATGCTATGGGATGAAGAAGCAACCATTAATGGCGATAGAATGGGGATACAAAGGGATCAGTAGTTGGATTAGATTAACCATGATTAACCCGTTTGGGAGATGGTCATCAATCCATTATTTATATTATTTTGGGAGATGGTTCCTATACCCATTTATGTACTTGGGGATTTCCATGGCATGGGATTGGTTGGATGACCATACCCCATATGCCATGACCAGGCTACACATGAGTGTATGGGTCAAAGTCAAAGACCCAGGTGAGTCATTGTGAGTCACACAATTTTATAATGCCCAGTCTGTTTTGTATGTACCGTTCCGTTTTATTTTTGAGTGCTTATTTGTGAGCCATATCCAAATGATGAGGCGGATACAGTGTAGGTTTGAAGGATTTGGGGATTTGTCGATGGGTGAAAACTGATTCTGATTTGGATAATGTATATATATATAATACACATACATATATATATAGATATGTCCAACACAACATTACCCATACCCTTTCCTTTCGCCCCTTATATTCAAAGATTCCCATAGCTCCAAGTTCAAGAAAGGAAGACACAAGCACCTCGAACGCAGATGGCGTAGCTGCTCTACTCCTTCCAAAGATGCTTCGCAAAGCTCTCGGCTAGTGACATCGACCAGAATGAAGCCGTGGGAAACACGGACCTTCAGAGGAAGATCCAGTGATTTTGTTCCGAGGTTTTGAGTCGCTCGGAGAAGAGGATGAACTTGTCTTTGCCTCAGAAGCGAGATTGACCATGCTGGTGTGAGCAGCAGTCCGACCAGTCCCAAGTTGGTGTATAAAAAGTAATTCAGCCCGGTCGCCTGGCGGGTGATGGCGGGTGAGGCCGGGGACATTCCAAACTGCATGTTGGCAGGCTGTAAGCTCAGAGTGTGCTGAGGGATGTTGCCGTGATTCTGGCACCCTGGCATGCTGGATTGATGTCTTACTTGTTGATTTTGGTGTTCTTTCCGAGTTGCTTGCGTGCAAGTCACTAACCTTCCACTCCCTCCATGCATTGAAGGGGTCCCGGCTCTCCAGGCTCTCCAAGCGATGAGGAAACACCATTTGGACAGAGTCGCAACTCACCTGCATACCATTGGCAGAGCATTGGCTGGGGATCAGGGATCATTTTACTGCGACAAGCCGAGGTGACGGGCATTGTTCGGACTCCTGTTGCTGGCGGGGTTGGCAGCAATGCAAATATTCTCATAGGGACCTTGGTCTTTGTGGTCCTAGAAAAGATCAGATTTGATGCCAAGGGTAAAGCTGAGGCGACGATGTTTCAATCTTTCGAACAGTTTGCGAAAAGGGAAAAGGCAGAAGTTTCAGTGCGGCAAAGCATCTGAGGGATTTTCAGAGACTTTTACTGTACCAACATGGAGAATTGGGGAATCGATGGGGATCATTATCCACACTGAAGATGGTCTCAAACACTGAGGTGTGCCGTTCCCACCGGGACTTCAGCCACCTCCAAATACGTATGGCAACCCAAGATGAGATGAGACGAGGAAAAAAATGATTGTTCTAAGATGTTCTAAGAAGATAGGTCAAACAACCAAAAACATGATTCACTTTGTTCCAAACATGTATGTTTCTGGGAAAATCTCGGCACTGCGCCCACCGCCCACGTACACAAAAAGTGAGGTATTTTGGAACTCTAATGGTTTCTGAAAACCATCTAAAACAGCGAGATTTCAGGATTTGCGGGTGTTTGCGGGGTTTTGCGGGAGTCTTGCGTTTTTTTTGCGTGTTTTTTTTTTTTCCCCCGGGGTTTTGCGTTTTTTTCCCTTAGTCGTTTGAGGCGCTGCAATAGATTTTTTGGCCTTTCTCACTAAGTCCAAAAACATGCAACCAAATTCCTAAAATCGAAGACCAAAGTAATATCAAGATGTTTTGGGTAAAATCAGTTGATATAGGTCAAACTCCGAAAACACCAATATTTTCCTAGGATTTGCAGGGTCTAGGGATATGATATATTATGATACAATATATCTTATACAATATATCTTATACAATATATCTTATACAATATATCTTATACAATATATCTTATACACTATATATATAATTATATACAATATATATATGCGAATAGAGTGTAGGCTACGGACAGATGTACATTAACACAATTAAACACTCTAGGATCCAGCACCAAAGGGGCTCTCCAAACTGGCCTCTTTGGCTCAAGACCCACTGCAGCGATAGAGAAAACAATAGCAATGCGGAAGCTGGTGCCCTTGTAGCGTCATCATTGGAACAACTACTTTGACATTGACTATTAGGACATAATCGGGCAAACAAACCCTGATTCTCAGGTTATCAGCCGTAGGACTCCTACGGAGCCTACGAGCGGGTAGCCGCGGGCCTTACAGATGACTGAACAGGATAGCAGCGATAATGCATTTTCTTTCTCTGGACATGCCGTTGCACCAGCTGCCGGCACGCAGTCAAATTCTTCACAGAGTATCGACACTGGTGGAAGCGATGCCTCAGAACTGAGAACAAGCCTACCCAGGCGACCTCTGGTTGCTCCTAGAGGGAGACAAATTTCGACAATGCAAGCAATTGAAGATAGGGACAGCACACCTGGAAAGAGAAGATCATCAGCACGACAATTGTCGCCTCCGATGACTCCAAGGACTAAGGCGAAGACTACGTCGTCGAATCCGCCTTCACCGATTCAGGACGCTACTCCATCAGGGACAGGATCTTATCAGCAAGTGAACGCCCCATCGAGTGGTAGCGACATCTTCACTGCCTATCAGAGCGAATTAGCTGAATACAAAACATCATTGGAAAAGGCTACTGAAGAAGAATCCGTACTTCAGGCAAGATTGACTGAGACGACAGCTTATGCCTATCAACAATTTAATTTCCTGGAAAGCACCACTCATCAAGAGATGATGTCGATGACCGAACAACTCCAGATGCTGAACTTCGAATTGCAGGCTGCACAACAAGAAGATGAAGGTGCGACCTACAGGATCGAAGAGTTGGAAAGGTATCAGACTATGTCGAATGAAGCTGCATCTCATTTGGAATTCAAATATTCACGACTACGTTCGGAACTCGATGAACAAATGGGACAAGCGAGCGCAATTATGGTACATGTGGACGCTGATGCGAATGCTCACATCAATCAACTCAGACTGGAACTGGAAAACGCAGAGATGAATGCCAAGCAGGAAGCTCTAGCGGTCGGCTACGCCAATGATCAAACATGTGCTTTACAGATCGAGATGCTCGAGGTTGCCAATCAAAATCAGACAATGAAGCACACCATGTCCATGAACGTTAGACGACTGGAAACTGAGCTTGATGCTGCTGACATGAAGAGGGACGAAATCATGAAGGAGTTCCGTAGTAACATAAGATCTGAACATGACCGTTATGCAGAATGTGAACATCATCTAGCTTTGGAAGAATCGCAACTTCGATTGCAGATGATTCAGAATGAGAACCTACAATCTCGACTAGTGATTTCTGAGAACAGGGTTTCTGAAGAATCTCTAGCTGAATCAAGCGGCATGCGGGACATGAGGATAATGGGACTACGTTCTGAACTACACATGAAACAAAGTCTTTTAGATCGAATGCAACAACAACTGACGGAATCGAAGAATCAGTATCATGAACTTTCCTGTCAACAAGCCAGAAGATCTTCACCAAGCAGGTCACCACATGGAGGGCCTCTATACGAGATGTATATGCAAGCCGTGCGTGAGCGTGACAGCTTGAAGGAATCCAAGGCTGAGGTTGACAAGTTGTACTTACAGAACAGAGCTGAACTCATTGACACTGAGGACCTGCTCAAAGTCTTCCAGCGAAACTTCGATGAAACTGGTAAGAAATATCAAGATGCTCTGAACAAGATCGATCACATGAGCAACAATCCGAATGTGACGAGTAACTTGTTCGACAGTTTGCACAATGAACTCAGTGACAGGGACACAGCCATTGCTCGCCTTCATACTGAACTTGAAGCCCAAAAGGATTCTCTTGAGCGTGCTCACAGGGATGCAGGTAAGTCCATCAAGATGTTGAACGACAGAAGACTCGTGATCAAAGGTGCGACTGACTATTCCATTCCTGAAAGCCACTTGACCGAGATGCATCAATTGGCCAATGAACGGTACGCTGAGGTAGAAGAGATGTCGAGTACTATTGCTGCCCTGAAGTTGGAAAATCAAACTCATTCTTCTTCATCAAAGAATAGACCGACTACATTACATGGGTACCCCAGTAATGCTATGCCTCGGAATGAATGCGAAGAGAAGTGTGCCAAACTGAAAGCAGAGTTGGACGAGATGAAGCAAGAGAAGAACAATGAAGTTCGAAATCTTCAAGATGAGTTGAAGAAGATGGAAGATCGGAAAGATTATTACAAGAACAATTTCTCTCAAGCTGAAGATCGCGCTAACGATGAAGAGCAGGAATACCGAGCAGAAGCTGAAGCCTTCGAAAAGCTCAGGAACGAGTACAACACCAATGTCAAGGAGCTGGAGAACCTTGAAAGGGATAGATCCAAGTCATCCGTATCTCTAAGGGAAGCAGAAAAGATCAGCCTCCAACCCTGGCCTAAGACCACTGAACTTTCATCCTGGAAGGGAAGTGTGATTCATGAAGTTTGTGTTGCAAGTGGAGATCGAAACTATGAAGATTGGAAAGCGTGGCTAGCTCCGTGTCTTGCAGATCAACCTGACTTGGAGGTCCTGGCCAAAGCTCCTGATGTGAGATTCCAATCCATTGATGCTAAGCTATCCAATGCCTTGAGGAAAGTCATTGACAATGCTGGGGACAAGTCCATGCAAGTGAAGTATGAAATGTCCATGAAGAACCAATTGTATGGGAGAAGTGGGGACTTCATCAAGGGACGAGAGCTATTTGCAATGATATTGATCAGCTTCAAGTCACCTGATCACACTGAAGTTCTCTACAATGCCCATCATTTGTATCTGTTCAACTACTATGGAGATGACCAGCTTGAGGCATTCTACAACAAATGGCTTGACATCGTATATAACATGAAACATGATGATCTGCCTTCTGCAAACTCCCTGCGTGACACATTGTTCCGTAAGATTGAACACTCAAAGCTTATGTCTTTTGATATCAACCGATACCGTACCTACGATGAAGGGCATCCTGAAAAGACCTACGAATCCCTGATTGGCATGATCAAAGGATACATAGCAAGAGGGAAGCAAGAACGACTGTTGAAAGATAGAGAACGTGCAGTGAAACTGTCATTGTCCTCTAACAAGACGACGCCTGCCTTAGAAGATGCAGACAAGCCTGCCGCTCCCGTCAAGACCAAGAAGGAGAATGAAGCAGCTGCATCGTCTACAGGTGATCCTCCCAAACGGCCCAAGGCGAAAGCGAAGAGTGAAGCTGCATCTGTACTTCCTACACCTTCTCCGAAATCTCATGCCGACAAGAACAACAAGAAAGGCAAAGGTGGGAAGGGAAGATCATCTTCACCTGTTGACAAGAAGAAGATTTTCTGTAACTATTTCTTCAATAAAGGAGGATGCAACAAAGGTGACAAATGTCTTTACAGTCATTCTCAGAAGGTCTATGATGCCAAGATGAAAGGTAAGAAAGGCAGAAGTGGAAGTCGAGATTCGTCAAGGGGAAAGAGTACAGGAAGTTCATCTTCAGCTGGACCCAAAAAGAAGGTATGTTGGAATTGGCAGAAGGGTACCTGCACGTTTGGGAGCAAATGTAAATTCCTACATGCAGACCAATCGCCTTCAGCATCCTCAGAAAGAACCAGCAAGAAGACGCCAAAGAAGAAAGCGACTCCCATTACCATTGACTCCTTCTTTGACAGCGACAATGAAGATTCTATGGATTATACCTCACCGAGGATAGCCAGCGCAAAGAAGTCTTCTGATGTTCGCAGAATCTCATTTGATCTGGAACCTGAAGTGCACGAGATTGTAATTGAGAACTACCCAGAGGGACTACCCAAACGTATGTATCGTGACCCCAACAAGCAGTATGTCTTCTGGAAGGTCGATGATTTGACCGACGATCAGTCCAAGTCCGACAACACACTGGGTTCAGTCCGAGCACGGGCCAAAGCAATCATCATGGACAGATGCGGACTCCATCGTTTTGTTGATGAAGTTAGAATCATCATCGGCCCTAAGTTCGACATGTTGATCAAGCTGGACGAGGATCGTGATGACTTGACCTTCATTGAAGAGCTTGTCGAACACGAAGTTGGAAAATCCCTCATAAAGTCCAAGAACATGATGCGCATTTCATTACCAGTACAATCCAAAGATCGTAGATTCATCCTGGATTCTGGCAGCGGACACGATCTGATTTCTGCAAGGAAAGCCGAAAGGATGAGTCTGAAGCAACGAACTTGTGATCCTATCATGTTCCACACCGCCAACGGTTCAACTGCTACTCAAACGGAAGCGGAGATTGACCTGGGAACCTTTGATGTGACCTCTCATGCTTATGTGCTGGACGACACTCCGTCCGTGATGTCTCTTGGGAAACGATGCATGGAAGAAGGATACCCCTTTGTATGGCCATCTGGTCAAATGCCCTTCATGATTACGAAGAATGGAGAACGCATCGATCTGACAATCCATGACAACATCCCCTACGTTGATCTTGGAACATACGAATGCACTCCTCATGAATGCCATCATGCATCAAAGATCCATGACCTATTGACACATCCTCAAGTCGGATTCAATGATTTCAACGACATTGATGACATTGGTCAACCCTCTCGAAGAGTGCATCTCGATGGAGAAAGTGGTCTTGAGACATCGACTGAGGATCACAACTGTTCCCGATACGTCAAGAAGCTCAAGGTGAAGAAGAAGAGAAGAGCAATGAACCGACAGAAACATTTGGCAACTCCTGGAGAAGAGGAAGAAGAACCACCTGAGGTCGGCGAGTACGATCCTGGAACTCCGCTTGACGATCCTCCTGGGGACGAGACTGACTTCGAGGATGATGGTCATGGCGCTCCCGAAGACGCCGCTGAAGGTGATGAAGATGACATTGAGATCGATGTCGTCGAGGGTGAGTCCAGGGTAGCCAAAAGAGGAACACTCAAGAGAGAAGCCAATAGCTTGAATCACAAGTTGACCCACAGGTACAAGAATCCATATTGCGATTCATGCATTCGAGCAAAGATGAGGCACTTCAAGACTCGTCGCGGTGCATACAGAAGGGAACTCAAGAAGTTTGGCGACCTCATTACCTTTGATGCAGTGGACACATCCAAAGTCCATGATGACGTGTTGGTCCTCGAGAAGGAAGTGTTGGTCGTCAGAGACTGTTTTACAGGAATCATTGGTGCTTATCCATCTGATCGGATGACCAAAGACGATGTAGTCAGAGCAGTGAAACAGTTCATCGGCGCAAAGAAGGTCAGACAGGCCTACTCTGATCATGCTCCTCAATTCATTGAAGCTATGAACGAGATGAAGATCCCAATTGATCATTCGTTGCCTGGTAGACCTCAAACCAATTCAATCGCCGAGAGGACGAACCAATTTATTCTCACAGCTACTTCTACATGTCTTCTGGAAGCTGGATTACCACCTTGTTTCTGGAGAACGGCGATCCTTTGTGTATGTCATCTACTCAACGTAGAACCCAACGATGATGAATTGAGCGCTTGGTGCAAACTCCATGGATCTGAATTTGCTGGCAAACTCATTCCCTATGGTGCTCGTGTGAACTACAAGCCTCCGAAGACCAGAGAAGCGGGACAACTCCATAAGTTTGGACCTGATTCTATCCCAGGAGTGTTTGCTGGTTATCACATTGGTCCAGGGATGCATTGGTCAAGACAATATAAAGTATGGCCTCTGAGTGAATTCGTACATCAGAATCTTGGTGACGATGCTAGCAAACCTGAACACCGTCTTCTCAAACCTCATTTGACTGAAAAGGTCGAGATGGTCACACCACTGACATTTCCATGCAAGCAAGAATATGAGAGGGTGAACACCACATTAGAGGGAATGAAAGAGAGAGAAATCCTCGATGGCGATCCCTCCAAAATGCCTCGTGGAGATGATGGAGAACATGACCAAGATGAGGATGATGATGAGCTTGATGACGGAGACGACGGTGGACCTGGACCAAGTGGTGGAAAAGTTTCAAAGAAGCCTCTTGATGACTCCGAGGATATCTTCGACAAAGACAAAGATCCAGAAGAGATGACCCTCCAGGAATTGATCGACGCCCAACCAGACCATTGGAAGAAGGGCAAAGCTGGAGATGGGAAGATATACCTCAATGACGATGGTGAGAAGGTCAAGTTGAACGTCAAGGGTTACCCATACAAGATTGGAGATGACGGTAGACGAATGTTCAAAACGTCACTGCGTCCCAAAGGGACCTATTCTCCTGAAGAATGGCGCAAACTCTCTCAGTCTGACCGGAATACCATCCTCAAGGCCGAGAAGAAGAAGTTGGAAAAGAAAGAGGCCGATGACAAAGCCAAAAGATTGGTCGAGGAGAAGAAGAAGAAGGCAACGAAGAAGGAGAAGAAAGATTCAAAGAAAGACAAAGACGAGCCAAAGTCCAAGGACGATGAAGGTGGTGATGAAAGTAAGAAGGATGACTCTCATTCAAAGTCAAAGAAATCCGATGCAGGTGTTGGTGAAGTTGTGAAGAACAAAGTTACCTTACCTATCACATGTACAAGTACGTATCTTGATTTGTACGACATAGTCGATGATGACGATGTACATGGAAGACGATACATTGATTGTCGAAAAGTGAAGAGGAATGCTGATGCTAGTCCATGTTCCGATGCTTCTACTGACGTCCCGGACGACGAGGAATATCTCACTGAATGGGATGAATGGTCGGAGGTCGAGAAAGGACGTGGCCCAAAAGCATCGTGGAGTGGTGAAGTTTGGAGCACATTGTCAGGTGAGATTTCGAGGTTTTCCATGGCTACGCCAGGAGAGTCGACAATGATCAAAAATGGCAAATGTGTCAACGTCAAGAACGTGAAGAACATAGCCACTGATGATGATGAATACATCCCTTTCCCAACTATGCCGTGTACTTCTGCATCAAACCAAAGTCACCGAACCAAGATTCCATCAGGAGGTCTTGGAAGCAAACTTTTCAACGCAATGGTTTCACGACCTGTGGGCAGAGCCGAGATTGAGTCTAACCCAAAGGCCAAAGAGGCAATGCTCAAGGAGTGGAAAGGCCTTCGTGATCAAGAAGTATTCGACTTTACAATGGTTCGTGAATACGACGATGTTGTTGCAGAGGCCAAGAAGAACAAAAAGGAAGTACATATGGCCAGGGTCCATGGCATATGCGTGGAAAAGAATTACCAGCTGTCAGAAGACAATCCTGGACGAAAATTCAAGGGAAGAGGCGTTCTGCTAGGAAATCAGGTGAAGAATCAGCATTGGGAGGCAGCATTCTTCCAAGACTTGGGAAATTCCCCTGCTTCCTTCGAAGCCTCACGATGGGCAGATTTTTACGGATGTCTTCCTGGGCACTCCGTCAAGTTGGCAGATGCGATTCAGGCTTACATCCAGGCTAAGTTGAAGGGACCTTTGTGTTGGGTGGAGTTACCCACTGATGCATGGCCTCCGGAGATACAGTATTGGAAGTTCCGTCGCCCTGTCGTAAGACTCGACAAAGCCCTGTATGGACACCCTGATTCAGGCACGATGTGGGAACAACATTGTGACAAGAAAGTTCAAGAAATTGGTTTTAAGCCCATTGGAGAGGAATGGCCTTCAATGTATTTTCATGATGAGCTCAAATTGCTGTTGGTAATCTATGTGGATGACCTTAAGCTTGCTGGGCCCTCCGAAAATCTGGCCAAAGGTTGGGAAATGCTGCGCACTGTTCTGCGCATTGAACCCGAAACCGACTTGGGACTTTACTTAGGATGTGTTTTATCCCAAGGTGAGACCCAATTGCATAATGGTAAGAAAGTCAAGACCATAACTTATAACATGGAAGGATTGTTAAAGTTATCGGTGGAAAAGTATCTTGACATCATTGGTAAGGACACAAAATTGAAAAAGGTATCAACTCCAAGCCTTCCAGAGGAAACGAAAAGCAGCCCGTATCGAGCTCCTTCCGATGGAAAACGCAAAGTTGAGTGTCCTTGGTGTGCACATTCCTTCGATCCAGATATGCCTGCTCTCTCCGAGACTGGCAACTCACGTCCTGGCCAAGACAGTGAGACGCTGAGCCGTGGGAATCTAGCTCCGCATGCAGCTAGTGTGCTTATGAAGCTGCTTTATGCAGCCCGCATTGCGCGGTTTGACCTGTTGAGATCCATCAATGCATTAGCACGTAATGTGACTAAATGGACAAAGGATGATGACGCCCGTCTTCATCACCTAATGTGTTATGTTAATTCCACATTGTCCCTCAAAATGATAGGATGGGTCGGAGACAAAATTGAAGATTTATCATTAGGACTATTTGCAGATGCGGATTTCGCTGGATGTGCCCAATCCTTGAGATCAACTTCAGGATCGCACTTACAAGTCCAAGGTAAGTTCACAAGATTCCCACTTGCTGGTGGAAGTAAGCGACAAGGGTGTGTTAGTCATTCAACCCCCGAAGCTGAAATTGTGGCTGCAGATACTGCACTTAGGACTCTAGGAATCCCCGCACTAAGTCTGTGGAAAGTCTTAGCCAAAGTTTTTCCTCAACTCCTGTTTCATGACGATAATCAAGGTATGATTGGTGTTGTCAGATCAGGACGGAATCCAACCATGCGTCATTTGGAGCGCACACATGGTATTTCCATTGCCTCCATGCATGAACATTTCCAAAAGGATCATTTTGTATTGATCTATGAAATTACAGCCAAAATGGCAGCCGATATCCATACTAAAGGGTTCAAGAATCCCATGGCATGGAAGAAAGCTTGTATGCTAATCAATTTGTTGGAGCCTCAGGACTTGCAGAGCAAAGAAGTATTAGACATGTTGCAGCCTAGCACCGATGTCGATATGACTACTCGCCAAGTTTTCCAATCCAAAACTGAGGATATCCCAAACTTCCCATACACGGAAACCACTATTTTGCCAAAAGAAGTGTATAGGAAGGGTTTGACTAGTAAAGAGAAGCTACACTACTTGCCAGGTATGGATCCCATTTTTGTCGTCAAGCAACCGGTGTTTTACCGTCCCAAGCCACCCGGCTTGATTGTGCCGCCAGATGTATTAAGATCCACATGGGTTCTTCTAAATGGTGCCTGGACAAAGGTCGAACACCGTGCATCTCCACCAGAGCAGGCTATCAGATTTGATAAGTGGGTTGAACGAGCGTGTTTTCAGTACCATTCGCCCAACAAGCAGCCGTTGATCCCGGACACTGTTTCACAATCCGTTTCAACGACTTCAACCCACCGGGTGATGTCGTCAAAGCACGTGCATGCCCCGCCTGCCCACTCGAGCTCACTACGTGACTCGTGTGCGTCAAAACCACATGACCGTGTACAGCATCTGACCGATTCACCAATGCTGATGTTCTCGGTTGATGCCTTGTTTTTAGATGCACAGACATCACCGTCTCAACACCCGAAATCCATTCACCAGTGCCTTCAGCCAGCCACACGTGTGATCAATACGCTTATGCGCCTTGTTCATGGGGGGAGTGAGGGTGAAGGATGGCATTCGCACAGTGAAAAGGGGCACCCACAGTCCACTTCAACACCTGGCCTATGTCATACGCATCCGGAATTGGACATCAATGATAACATTCCGTTTGTAAAATCCACCCGAAAATCCCAAGTGTTAGGTAAGAAAAATGAAGATCATTGGCAGTGGGATGGGAAAGAGACATTGATCCGAATTCACAAAACGCCAAGAAGGCAAAACTTTGTACCACAGGATTGCGAAGACTGTCCTTGTGACCCTAGGATCATATGTGATGAGAGGGAAACCGAACAAAAGTTCAAAACCAATACTCGAGTGATCAAAGACATATGGAGATTCAAGGGCGACAATCATGAATCAACCAACAAGTTGAATGAATTTTGGACTGGAAAATCGACATTTAAGGTGCTCGCCAATGCTGAAGTGATCGATGGAGGTAAGAACTGTAAGGTGAGTCAGGGAGTAATCACGCTATGCACCAATTGCAATGACGTGAAAACTATTCCCATCACTGATGTTTTTGTCCCCTATCAATATCACATTGAAGTAGGCAAACATGAGGTTGACCATCCCAAAGTGTCGGTAATCCTTTGGAGAGAAAAGAAAAACAGAACTTTGGAATTTCAATTTTCCAAATCACCTTGTGACTTGATGACATCAAAGTATGCGAAGTTTTCCCTTGCAATCAACTTGATCGAAGTTCCTCAAGCAGTCCCATGCTTCGTCTTGTTATGCTCGGAAGAGAGAAACTGGTTTACGTTCTTGCAAAACAAAATGAAGGACGAAATGAAGTTTCATGTCGTGCCAATCACTGAAGATGACGACATGCTCTCTCCGTACGGAATCAGCAAAGCAAGGCGATGCCTTCGGACCAAACTTGATTCAGTGTTCTTTGCAGGTCCATGTACAGGAGGTTCACCATGGAACCGAATCAACCGATGGGTGAGCGAAGCAACGACACAACTCATCGAAGCAAAGAAGCAGATCTTCTGGGCGATGTGGGAAGTGTTTGCATCAGTGCTAAGTGAACTTATTAACATGGGATCACCAGCCTTGCTTGAGTTGCCTAGAGGTTGTGACTATTGGAAGGACCGTAGAATGACTGACCTTGTGGAAGGAACCGTATCTCATGAGCACAAGTTTGATGGATGCATGTATGGCTTGAAATCACAATTCCAAGAGACTCCCAAACCAATCAAGAAACCATGGAAGATTGTCACATGGGGGGTGTCTTTTCCAAAGCTTCATAGAAGATGTGATCGCCGCCATGACCATACTGAGTGTGCTGGTAGGGAAACTCGCGTTACTCAAGTTTACACTAAGTGGATAGCCAAGATAATCATGAATGGAATTAACGATCATGTAATCAGGAATAGTCCATTTGTGAACGTCAGAGTGATGAAATGTTGGAAGCCGCTTGCATGTGATGAACAACTGAAGGCTGAAATGTCTCGTGATTCCGAGAATGTCCGCAGTCACCCAATCAAGTCGGGGGCAACATCCGTTTGTGCTACTCGAGAGCTCGACGCCATTGATCTTTCGTTCGAGCGATCGCTACTGCACTGGTGCTTTTCGAGATTGACATCAACTTCGGTTCTTTCTTCGTGGCACTTTTCATCTTCGTGTCATCTGCTTTCTGAATTCGACTCCGACTGGTTGTTACGAGACCTACGGTTCGTACAACTATTTCCGCTGTTCGAACGGTTGTCACGAGACCTACGGTCCGTGCGACTTTATTCTGTACAAAGCGTGATGGCCGAAACCCATGATCTGAACTCAGTAGGACAATTTGCTGGAAGCCGAATCACCGTTGCATTACGAGTGCTGAAGGCATTGTCCGAAGGATCCATTGCAGCCAAGACTCCACCACCATTCCGAGACACCCGAGGTTCGAATTTTCGACTGATCTTAGATGAGGACACAGCCAACCAGTGGATTAGGTTT